CATCGCATTCAAATGCCACTGCGAATGTACAAATGGAAGTAGAATGCGTGCCGCATCCCAAAAAGGGATTGATCAACGGCAAATGCTTTATCCTTTATCCTTTATCTTCCTACTAGTCGGGCTAAGGCTAATTCGGGGGTTTGCCTTCAAATGAACTAAATTTGCTGGTGGATGCTCCCTAGTCTGATCAGCCTCTCGAACTGCAAAGAGGTCCTATTAACGAAGAAATGGTATCTGATATTACGTTTTGCCCTGCGAGCAACAACCTACATATAGCTACCCCGCGTATTCGACTCCCTAAGGCAAAGAACCTGTCGGGTTTGAAATCAGTGTTAAAGTGGAGGGTTTCAGAAGGAACGAAAGGTCAAATTTATTCCTCTTAAGCGCAAGCGTCTATTTGAATAAAATTACCCTTGAAACAAACTTTCGTGGTCAAACTGCTTCCAGTTCTTTCCGAAGCGATAGTAAAAAGTTACTTAAAATAAATTTACAAAATTAGCACAGCGCTCGCCCAATAGAATCTTCCCATGGTGTTCGCTCAGAAGCCTGTCGCTGAGTTGTATTTTAAGTGTGCTGTTTAGCTGGTGGGAAGGCATGCTTGAACCCAGCAAGGTGCGAATATTTCAACGTAAGTAGGCCGGAGGCCACAAAGTTCTTTTATAAACTATGGTAATAGCCAAAGGAATGCCTTACTGGGAACTGTCTTTCTTGTTCTGGAATTCGATGAGGGGCTCACTTACATGAAGGAGAAATCGCCAAACTAAATACTAGAATAGACGCTTAGTCGACGTTTTATAAAGAGAGTACCTGGAATTCATATCCGGTTAACGAGAATCCGTGTAATTCAGTATAACGTTCATCACAGTGTTGTATTCTGACCAGGAAGGTCTTTCAGGGGATGCCAAGCTTTTGCGGTCCTCTGCATGATATAGGGGCACATGCGGGAACCACAGAACCATGGTTAATTTTTCCTAAACGGCCCTCTGAATACCAAAAAGGGGGTCCCTGGTTCGATTCCTCGTGGTGACATACTTTGAAATTTCGAAACGTCAACTCGAAATGCAAAAATTTGTCACCACGAGGAATCGAACTAGGGACCCCCTTTTCTGGTATTCAGAGGGCCGTTCAGGAAAAATTAAACATGGTTCTGTGGTTCCCGCATCTGCCCCTATATCATGCAAAAGACCGTTTTCAAAAAGCTTGGCACGCCCTGAAAGACCTTCCTGGTGATAACAAAAGGTGATAACGAAACAAAAAACAGTGATTCATTCAGCACACGACCATTTTAACGGAGGATTACCGTAGGCTCAGACGCAGTAAACAAGCAGCACGAGTTCGCTGAGCGCCAGTTGTGCTTCGCGCTATTCGAGAGTGATTCTTCCGTCAAACAGCAATGACGTCACTCTTATCATATTAGACAGTTTCATTGGAATCCATTTCGATCTATCGCCGTCTATCCCTTCGGCGTGTCTGTGAGTCTGACAATTCTGACCGAGAGGCATTACTCGATACTGATTGATGTCCGTGATCCGTTGTTTCCTGAAACACTAAACAGCAATCACCCATTATGATTTATGGCAATTTTATTCCTTGTATTAGGTTGAGCGGAGATTATGCGCCGTTTCTTCTTCAAGCACATAATAGTTTTTGCCGACATTTTTGAAGTCTGTAATGTAGGATGAAAGCGTGCGATCTGTTGTACATTTTGATGTACAACACTTGTGTATTTGCTTCACTATGGAGCTTACACGCGAGCAAAAAAGATTGCTCATGCTACATGAGTGCAAGTTGAGCTCGAAACCGAATGCTTCTGCATCTGCTCGTAGAATCAATGAAGCCTGGGATGAAGGCACGGTTGCAGAGAGGACTGTTCGAGAGCTTGTTGTTTATCATTTATTGTTGATTTTGTTTAGTTTCGTCAAAAAGCTTTCGTGTGAAATGAAGCGGCAAATAATTTCCACTCAACCTAATAGTTCCTAAAAATACAAGTCGTCCTTGTTACCATTATCAGAATTTTTCGCTTTTTCGGTCGCTATCAATGTCAACATGAGAGTTACTCATCGCAGATATTTCTTTATCTGGTGCAGCCATTTCTATCCTTCGCTTATCCCCCTACATGGCGAAGATCTGCATCTTTGACCTGAAAGAAGGCTTGTTAGAGCTAGCTTATTCGAACAGCTTTTGCGTCCAAATACGGTCACCAGCAATACCATCTATGAAGATGGCAGGTCACGAAAGTTCACTGCAGTGAACAGCAAACACTGACTGGAAGGCTTACGATTGTGTGTGAAAATCGAACACATGGCGCAACCCAAATTAACTCGCCGACGTTACGGGCGCCATTCTGGCTGCCTTTGATCAAGTGAACACTAATTCGCGATAGAATCACTTTGCCCTGCAGCTGTATCATCGCCTGACTGTATTACCTGATCTGTGATCAGCAAAACGCCACCGATTTGTCAGTCGTCGGGATTATGATTGGGCGCTATTTAGTCTCACGATTCCACACTACATCCATTCTCACGTTTTCACGTTTTGTAACACTAGTTTTTTCTTGTTTTTGTTTGTTAACGAGAAACGAAGGGTGCGGGTTCGAATCCCGTCCGCGGCGAAAGTTTTGTTCACAACCCAGCATTCTTGTGAAACTAGTTTTTTCATTTCGATAGACCACCACTTGCTTTAGAACTCTACAATGAAGTCGCTATTAATTTTCATCTGCACAATGGGTGCAGCTTTTGGCTGCAGATGCCGCAAACTGCCAAGCAATGAAGCTTTCTGCAATGCTGATTGGGGTTAGATTTTCGTATCTATTCATTCTAGCTTCACTCATCGCAGACATTAAAAGTGTTTACTCAAGCCTTTCTCAAATGTGGTTTTGAGCTAAAAAACATTGGTACATTGTTTAACATACTTGAAACCATCACAGCTAAATTGTTTGTTTGAAAGAGCTGATGAAGCACAATTCATCATAGTCATGCTAATACAATGTCTTACAGTATCCC